GCTGTTAACACCCAACAGTTCCTCCTCCATTCGCCCTTTGTTAAAATGTCTTGATGACATCAAGACTTGGATGGCTGCGAACTTCTTGCGTTTTAATGATCAGAAGACTGAGGTCATTGTGTTTAACCCTAGCTCTGCCACTGTCACTTATCCTGCAAACCTGGACTCCCTTCAGCCATATCTAAAACAGTCTGTTACCGATCTCGGCATAGTTTTAGACTCTAACTTTAAGTTGAATAAACAGATAAATTCCGTTCTTCAAAAAAACTTCTTTCAGTTAAGGCAGATAGCTAAGCTCAAGTCTGTGCTGTCTAGATCCAACCTTGAAAAATTAGTCCATGCATTTATTACAACCTGGCTGGACTACTGTAACTCGCTTTATGTTGGGGTCAGTCAGGTCTCTCTCTCACGTCTCCAGCTTGTCCAAAATGCTGCAGCTCGGCTACTAACAGGAACTCGCAGGTTTGAGCACATTACTCCAGTTCTGTCCTCCCTTCACTGGCTTCCTGTGCATATCAGAGTTTATTTTAAGATTCTTCTGCTGACAGTTAAGTTTGTTAATGGCCTTGCACCCTCATACCTCTCTGACCTCCTTCATCCTTATACTCCTTCTTGGGCCTTGAGATCATCAGACCAGCTGCTTTTGGCCGTACCAAAAACCAGGCTGAAGCTCAGAGGAGATTGGGCGTTTTCAGTCATGGGCCCCAAACTCTGGAACAATCTGCCCATCAACATTCGACAGGCTACCGCATCATGTCGGCCAGCTCTCTACCTTTGCCTGTCATTGTCCCCACATTTAGAGTTGCAACCCTCAGTCCTACATGCTTCACTTTCCTCTTCTCTCTCTGTCTCCTGACACGTTTCCTTCCTCGTGGTCTTCGACTAACAGTAGCACAATTTTAGCCAGCACCCTGTTTGTCAACAGCACCGGTGGCGGTTGTTTTTAACCTGGGCCTTGACCGGTGTGGTTTCGCTTTGATGAACTCGCATTATGGTTTTGACAAAAGTGTTTTACATCAAATGCCATTCCTGACACAACCCTCACCATTTACCTGGGCTTGGGACCATCACAAGAGATACACTGGCTTGTGCTCCCTAGTGGCTGGTTTCGAGGCTCACTGGGATTAATCTGTATAAATAAAGGTAGAATGAAAACTGAAAGAAGTAATAATTCAATTTATTTTGCAGAGTTTGAGTACTGTCTGGTTTGATTTTAACTGGGAAAGTTTGCATGGCAGTAAGCACATTTTCATGGAAAATAAAAAGTTTGCTGATATTATTGCACACTTTTACACAGCATTAGTTTTTATACATCCTGACGTGTGTGGAACGTGGCATATTCAACCTTTCTGTGCGTACACACCAATCGTACATGAGGCCTTGGGTTTCTTAAGTAAAGATTTAATTACAACATCCTTTAAGCCCTGTTATACATAACCATAACATTTAAGTACATTACAGTTTTACACAAATTCCCAACTTTGTTGGAACATGAGTTGTACAATAATGAGTCTCATCATTTCAGTTATTCTTTCAGCACGAAAGCAAACTAACACATTTTCTGTCATGAAATACTTATTTTAAATAAATCCGTTTATTAGTAAACTGGTAAAGTTTTTCATTGCTCTGGTAAATTATTTTTGTTTACACAGCACCAACATTATTTTAATTTTGCTATCAAAAAGCACTTCAGCATCACATATTTCATAAATTATCTTTACTATGTTACAATAAAATAATTAAGTTATTTAAAAAAACAGGACAGCAAAATTTGAAAATCCATCCATCCATTATCTTCTTGTTCCAAAGTCGGGTTGCGGGGGCAGCAGCAACAGGGAGGCCCAGAAATTAATTTTCATAGCCACCTCTTCTAGCTCTTCTGGCAGGACTCCAAGGCATTCCCAGACTAACCGAGAGACGTAGTTTCTGCAGCGTGCCCTGGGTCTTCCCCAGGGTCTCCTCTTAGTCAGACATGCTCGTAGCACCTCCATAGGGAGGTGCCATGGGGGTATCCTTACCAGATGCCTGAACCACCTCAACTGGCTCCTCTCGTTGAGGAGGAGCAGCGGTTGTACTCCGAGTCTCTCCTGGATAACTGATCTTTTTACCTTATCTCTAAGGGAGAGTCCAGCTACCCTGCGGAGGAAACTCATTTCAACCACCTGCATTCACAATCATTCTTTCCGTCACTACTCAGAGCTTGTGACCATAGGTGAGGGTAGGAACATAGACTGATCAGTAAACACAGAGCTTTGCCTTACTGCTCAGCTCCCTCTTCACCACAACGGACTGACAGAGTCCACGATACTGCAGATGCTGCACCAATCTGTCTGTCTATCTCATGCTCCATTCTTCCCTCATTCGTGAACAAAATCCCAATATAATTGAACTCCTCCACTTGAGGCAGAGCCTCACCCTTGACCTGAAGTGAGCAAATCACCCTTATCTGGTGAGGATCATGGCTTCAGATTTGGAGGTGCTGATTCTCATCCCAGCCACTTCACGAACTGCAAACCGCTCCAGTGAGAGCTGAAGATCATGGCATGAGGACGCCAAAAGGATCACATCATCTGCAAAGAGCAGAGACAGAATCCTGAGCCCACCAAACTGGAATCCCTCTGCCCGCCCCCTGGCTGCACTGGCTGCAAATTTGAAAATTAAAAACCATACAAGATGTTGTGTGACACAATCCAAATTTTTGCCATTGGGTAAATCTGAATCGATATGGAACTTTTGCTGTAAACATTATTTATTTTGATATAAAACGTATAACATTTATATTATTTATGTAGCACCATTTAACCACTCTGTTGGAGTTAAAAACCAGAATGAAGGGATGCTTCGGTTCAATAAATAAGGTAGATACCACAAAGGTGTACCTGAAAGGGGAATAATTACAAATGCTTTGCATATAATATATTTGTTTTCAAAGAATGAGACCCAGAGAAGTTTTCAAATTTAGGCAAAATGATTAGGCTTAGTTTTATTAAACTTAAAAAAGATTAAATTATTTGTAACCAAAATATGAACATCCAAATAAGAAAAAACTTTTGAGCAATAAACTCAAAATATCCGCAAAATAAAAGTAGTCCTTTTTTTTTCCTTTAGCAAAAGGCCAAAATAAAGTTTCCCTTTAGCGTTGAGGCTTCTTTACAAAATAAGAGAAATAGCCCCAAAATCAATAATAAGAATGTCTTAATTAAACTTGACAAACAATAGGGCCTTCATTTATTCACATTCACACTGTCCCTTTGAGTACTCATGAAAATCTTGAGCAAAACGTGGTAAAACACTGGTGCAGGCCTGTTTAGCAGAACATTGAGAGCACTGATATCTTCGGAGCACACAAGCATTTGATTGCATTGACACCTGCTGGTTAGCTTAACTTTAGCACACCTTTATTTATACAGGTAAATCCCATTGAGCCTCGAGGACTCATTTACAAGAGAGACCTGATTTCAACAAAGAAAGATGACAACAATGGACAACAGCAACAACAATAAACAGTTATAAAAACTCATACTACAGTTTTTTTTGTTTGTTTTTTTTAACAAATAGGATGGCTAAAAGGAAAAAGGTAACAAAACCAAAAAAACTGCTAGATTCCGAGACAAATGTATAAAACTAAAAACAGGAACATGTCTGCATTGGTCCCTGCCAGGAGTCCAACAGATTCTTAAAGACACTTAGAGAGGTCAAAGGTCGAGAGCTTCAAATACTTTTGTAAGATATTCCAGGAAACAGGAGCGGAGTAGGAGAAGGCCCTTTTGCCTAGTTCAGTCCTCACTGAGGGAACACTGCAGGTAATAATGTCCTGAGAGCGCACTCCGTAGCTGCACTCACGCAGAGACATGTAGGAGGAGATGTATGAAGGCAGCAGACCAAGAAGTGATTTAAAGATGAAAATGTACCAGTGAGAGAGTCTGCGTGAAGTTAATGATGTCCAGTTAACCAATGAATACAGGGTGCAGTGGTGGGTACGATAATCACAGCCAGTTATGAATCTTAGTGCACCATGATAGACAGCATCCAACATCTGCAGGGTTCTTGTAGGAGCGTTCATGTAAATAATGTCACCGTAATCAATTGAGGGAAGGAAAGTCACAGATACAAGGCATTTTCTAGCATTCAGGGTTAGACAGGATCTGTTTCTGAAAAAGAAACCCAGTTTAACTTTCAGTTTCTGTACCAAGTTTTCCACATGGAGCTTAAAAGAAAGATGTGCACACTGCAGCTTCTCGTTGATATCTCTCTCCCTCGTGTCTCTCGCCCCCTGCATCTCAGCTGCTCCACTCCTGCTTTGGGTCCTCTTTGCTCCTATGGGCTTAACATGAGCATAGTGCTTCCTGCTCTGTGGACCTCTTATTCTCAAAAGTCAGTCCTGTTCCTGCAGTCCCAGCGTGAGTCGGCTCCAGGTCTCATAGAACTTTTTTCTCTGTCCGCGCCTCCTCACTTCTCACACCCACACCTCCACAGGTCACAAGCACCTGCCCATGTCCATATTTTCGGCCAATCATAATTGGCTAACAAATCTGACTGTATCAAATGACCAATCAAATTAACAAAAGATGCACAACTAATCAAACTTATATCTGATTTATATCAAAACCAAATATATTTAATATTTACTAACGAAAACATACTTGACACTTTATTTTTTAAATAGTACAGTTAAAGTAAAGTCACTTTTTTAGTATTTCGAGTAATAAACTGAAATCCATAATTGCCACTATCTTTATGCAAAAGCAAATACACATTTACTTTTAATCTATTTGTGTGGCTGACTTATGTGGGATTTAAATTAACTCTTAAAGTACCACTGCCTATATTATAGTAACCCATATTTACCACAGGGCTACATTTATTATTTAAGTCTTTCCTGCCTAAGAAAAAAACAGCTTCATTTTTAAGTTATTATCCTGCTTATATGTAAAGAGTGTCATCCTTATGTTGCATTGATTCTCACTAAATACATGTTTCATCCTGTGATCTTTCTTTAGCCCCTCCTCGTGTATTTCAGAGAACTGCACCCTGCACAGGAAACAGCCTCAGCCTCCTCCACCATCTCCTCCTACATCCTTCCCTGCCTCCACCACAGCTGGAGACACTGACAACTCTTCGCCATCCCATGACCATAAGGAGAAACGTGTCCACTTTGACCTGGAAACACTTCACTGTTACCGCCTGCACACACATACTGCATCGGTGCGCGGCCGGCCCGGCATGGTTGGCCGCCCAGGGCTTGGCCTCAGAGGGTTAGGGTTAAGCAACCTGGAGGGTTTTGCCACTCCACCTCAGGTCAACCTACATGCCAATGGGGGCCCTGTCTTGACCCTAGTGTCCACAGGTTTGGTGCTCTCTCCCCTGGGGAACAGGGCTGCTCAAACCAAACAGTGGGAGGGGGAGCTCCAAGAGCTGCAGGTAAAAATTGAAATGTTCCGCAACCAGCTAAGGGATGCTCTGGCCAGGAGAGCTGAGATCCAGAGCAGCCTGGAGAGAGAAAGGAACGTGCTGATAAGCAGGAACACCAGCATGGAGAGAGATCAAGACAAACAGAGAATACAGACTATTAACAAAGACAGAAGTAGTTCCACTCAGTCCAAACTCCCTGAAAGAGACATAAGCCAGCTGAAAATCCTAAATAATCTGCAGACTGGGGGGGTGAAGCCATCAAGGAGCCCTGGGACTGTCAGGAGGGGAAGAAGCAGTCAGCTGAACACAGTGAACAGTTTAGACAGAGGAAGAGTCAGTCAATCACAACCTCTTGTTACTTTGACAAGGATTGTCGAATCATGCACTTCTGCTAGGTTGCAGCAAAGTCAAGTCAACCAGCAAAGTGCAGGAAACATCATGGTCCAAACAAGAAACACTTCCAGCTTGGACAGACAGAAGCCTAGCCTATTACTCACTCTGAAAACTTTGGACAGGACAAAAGCCAATCGGTCACTTGTAAGCAGTGAGACCTAATCAGTTACCTGATCCTTAAAGCAGACGTCCCCAACCCTGTTTTTTGTTGGTCACTGTCCTGCATATTTTAGCTGTTTCCCTCCTTTAAAACATCTGATTCAGATAATGGAAGTAGCTACTACTCATAATGTCATCAAGTTTGGCAGAAGCCTGTTCCTGCATATTAACGTGTAGGACATTGGGTCACAAGGATCAGGGTTAGGAACCTCTGGTTTATAGAATCATTCAGTCATGGGGTCCTTATATAGGTGCAGGAATGTCATATGGGGTGGGGGGAAGACAATACAAAACAAAGACATAAATAATAACATGGAAGTGAAAGAAGTATTAAAAACAAACAGTAATACAAAATTAAAGCAAATTAAATCTTCAGAAAAACAAAATATCACTAAGCGATAAAAATTTACAATGGTTTTTAAGGAAGGTTTTCAAGCAACTTTTAAAGGCAGAGACAGAAACAAACACGTGTCCCAACATCTTCTGCAACAGATTCCAATTCTTTGAGGCAGCATACACAGAAGACATTGAGCCAAAACAAGACTTGGTCTTCGGGATCTTCTTGGTGTATAACTTTGTAGCAACTACTGGATACAGTATCTGACTTAAGTAGGGAGGTAAGTATCCCAATGAGGTTTTATAAACAAGTAAGAACCAGTGAATTTTACAACAGGTATGTAAAGGCGACCATTTAACCTGTGAATACAGCTGACTGTTATGGATTGTATAAGGAACATTTGTGACAAATTGAATCACATTGTGTGCAACTTATGAAGATTTCCCTTATATCCATGTCTAAATTATGTCTCCATAATCAAACAAGGGAAGGATGTTTTTTTCTTCATTTTTCTGCCAGTGGAAAGGAAGAACAATTTCTGTAAAGATAACTGTCTCGGACAGCAGGGTGGCTCAGTTAGTAATATTTGTTGCCTCTCAGGGAGAAGGTCACCAGATCAAATCCTTCCCCAGGACCTTTCTGAGTGGTGTTTGCATGTTCTCTCCGTGCTGCGTGGGTTTTCTCCGGGTACTCCGGTTTCCTCCCACAGACCAAAAACATGCATGTTGGATTGACTGGTGACTCCAAATTGTTCCAATGTGAGAGTGAAAGAGAGAATGGTTGTCTCATTTGTCTCTGTGTCCCTATGATGGACAGGAGACTTGTCCAGGTGTCCCTGTATGTACTGAAGACCTGTCCAGTGTGTACCCCGCCTTTTGGACATTGATTGCTGGACATGGGCACCAGTGAACCCCAGCGACCTGAAAAGGAAGAAGCAGGTAAAGATGATGGATGGATGGATGGATGGATGGATGAATGGATGGATGGATAACCATCTCACTTTGACCTTTGATTGCAATACATTAGGATGATGTGAAAAATGATAGAACACCATCAAACCAAATTTCCATACATTTAAAAACTTCCATTTGTTCAACAAGATAACCATTTAATGTGGTGAAGTCAACAGAGCACTGCCTCCATGACCAAATCACATATCTTTGGTTTTCTTGGCATTTATAAACAAATTAAACTCAAGAATGGCCTGCTGTATTGTATAGAAGCTATGTGTAAAAGGCTTAATGACTTGACCTGGAATGGAGCTGATGTTACATAAATTGTATCATCAGCATATAGACTAATAGAAGCTTCATTAACAGATTTTGGAATAAAGCTAATAAGATATTCCAATGAGTTGTGGAATTGTAACCATCCAACCATCAAGCCATCCATTTATTTTTTTTACCCACTTTTTCCTCTCTGGGTGTGAGGTGGAGCTTATCTTAAGCAAATTTTTTGTTTAATATTTATAAGATTTATTGAGTTATAACCATTTAGGCAAGAGGCAGGGTATGCCCTGGACAGGTCACAAGTCCATCACAGAGGGCATTGTAGTCGTTTTAATAAATTTTAAAAATAACATCATGGGAGAGCTCATGCAGTATCACAAAATGTCACGCTCAGAGTATGTGTTGTGAATGACTCAGTTGTTACCACATAAAATTGTAGTTCAATAATTATAAGATTAAATGAGTTCTAGCCAATTTTGTGTTGCTCAATGTTGATTAACTGTGGCAGCCTTCTCAAACTGGACGGGCTCCAAAAAGTAAATTAGTTATAGATGATTGTTTTTAAAAATAACTACAAACCGGATTCCAAAAAAGTTGGGACACTAACAAAATTGTGAATAAAAACTGAATGCAATGATGTGGAGATGGCAAATGTCAATATTTTATTTGTAATATAACATAGATGACAGATCAAAAGTGTAATCTGAGTAAATGTAACATTTTAAAGGAAAAATACGTTGCTTCAAAATTTCACAGTGTCAACAAATCCCAAAAAAGTTGGGACAAGAAGCAATAAGTGGCTGAAAAAAGGAAAATGAGCATATAACGAACAGCTGGAAGACCAAGTAACACTAATTAGGTCAATTGACAACATGATTGGGTATAAAAAGAGCTTCTCAGAATGTCGGTGTCTCTCAGAAGCCAAGATGGTAAGAGGATCACCAATTCCACCATTGTTATGCAGAAAGATATTGCAGCAATACCAGAATGGAGTTACTCAGCGTAAAATAGCAAAGACTTTTAAGTTATCATCATCAACCGTGCATAACATCATCAAAAGATTCAGAGAATCTGGAACAATCGCTGTGCATAAGGGTCAAGGCTGTAAAACTTTAATGGATGCTCGTGATCTCCGGGCCCTTAAACGTCACTGCACCTCAAACAGGAATGCCACTGTCAAGGAAATAACATAATGGACTCAGGAATACTTCCAGAAAGCATTGTCAGTGAACACAATCGACCGTGCCATCCGCCATTGCCAGCTGAAACTCTACAGTGCAAAGAGGAATCAATCAACCTTTATTTATACAGGTAAATCCCATTGAGCCTCGAGGACTCATTTACAAGAGAGACCTGATTTCAACAAAGAAAGATGACAACAATGGACAACAGCAACAACAATAAGCAGTTTTAAAAACTCATACTACAGTTTTTTTTTTTTTTTTTTTAACAAATAGGATGGCTAAAAGGAAAAAGGTAACAAAAACAAAAAAACAGCTAGATTCCAAGACAAATGTATAAAACTAAAAACAGGAAGCCATTTCTAAGCTAGCTCCACAAACTCAGACGTTTGCACTGGGCCAGGGGTCATTTAAAATGGAGTGTGGCAAAATGGAAGACTGTTCTGTGGTCAGATGAGTCACGATTTGAAGTTCGTTATCGAACACTGGGACGTCATGTCATCCGGACCAGAGAGGACAAGGATAGCCCAAGTTGTTATCAACGCTCCGTTCAGAAGCCTGCATCACTGATGGTATGGGGTTGCATGAACGCTTGTGGCATGGGCAGCTTGCATGTCTGGAAAGGCACCATTAATGCAGAGAACTATGTTCAGGTTCTAGAACAACATATGCTCCCATCTAGACATCATCTCTTTCACAGGGAAGACCCTGCATTTTTCAACACGATAATGCCAGACCACATTCTGCAGCAATCACATCATCATGGCTACATAGAAGAAGGATCCGGATACTGAAATGGCCAGCCTGCAGTCCAGATCTTTCACCTATAGAGAATATTTGGTGCATCATAAAGAGGAAGGTGCGACAAAGAAGGCCCAAGATGATTGAACAGTTAGAGGCCTGTATTAGACATGAATGGGAGAGCATTCCTATTTCTAAACTGGAGAAACTGGTCTCCTCTTTCCCCAGATGTCTGAGTGTTATAAAAAGGGGGGATGCCACACAGTGGTAAAAATGGACTTGTCCCAACTTTTTTGGGATTTGTTGACACCATGAAATTAGGAAACAACAGATTTTTCCCTTAAAATGATACATTCTCTTATCCAAAAAAGTTCAATATGGTCCTCTGGACATTCAAAAAACAAGAAAACAAAGCAAAAAAGTGTAGAAACGTTTCGTCTCTCATCCGTGAGACTTCCTCAGTCTGAGGTGCTGTATTCAGCTCAGTCTCTTAAATAGCACCTTCACAGCGTGGATCAACCAGTTTGCTGCTGACAACCAAAACCAGCTGCTCACATGGTCAAGAAGGACCATCAGCCTAACAATGGATCATTAGCACACTGATGGCTGTTTACTATTCACAGGGGGTTGAGTGATACTAGCAATCACAGCATTGTAAGCGGGGGACAGTTGAACCCAGAGGCCTCCACCCCTGTTTAATGATGGACGGTTTCTTTTCACAAAGATGGCCTCCTTTACTCCTCTCTCAAACCATTGTTTCTCTCTGTCCAGGATGTGAACATCTTCATCCCTGAAAGAGTGACCGCTGGCCTGGAGATGAGTGTAGACTGCAGAATCCTGGCCTGATGATGTTGATCTTCTGTGCTGGGCCATCCTTTTGGCCAGTGGCTGTTTAGTTTCCCCGATGTAAGACTGATCACAGCAATCCTGACACTGAACAGCATACACAATGTTACTCAGTTTGTGCGGGGGGACTGGATCTTTGGGATGAACCAGTCTTTGCCGTAATGTATTTTGGGGTTTAAAAGCCACTGC